CCCACCCCTCCCTCCACCCGGCGCCCTCAGTGACGCGCTCTCACGGCGATCCTCCGCGTCCTTTCCATCACCCTCTCCGCCCCTTCGTGAGACCGCACACCCTCCCAGTTCCCCTCCCGCGCCCTTCTGCCCCCCACTCTGCGTCTCGCCGTCGCCTGGCACTCTCTCTTACCTGTGTGCCCCCGTCCCCCCATGCCTTGGCAGTACCCCTCCTTTACCTCCCTTTCTGCGCTTTCTCCGTTCCTCTCTCTGTCTCTCCTCCAGGCCCCTCCGCTTCACTTGGATCCGGACAACCCTGGGAGGTGCCCAAGCAGACTTGGGAAGAGGGAGATTTAGGTCCCGGCTTGTCGTGCTGAGTGGTGTGTGGACTTGGGCAAGGCGCTGCCCCTCTCTGGTCTGAGTCCCCCAATCGGTACCAGGAGGGAATTGCCTTCAGTTGGAAACTCGTCTAACCTAAGACAGTTTGCTGAGGGTAGCGTCCTCTGCAGTAACCTAGCTGCATTTGTTTTTCTTTTGATAAAAAAAAAGCAATCAAGCTTGTCTCAAAAGTATTTAAAAATACAAAGTGTACAAAGTGAAAAGCGAAAGGCCAGCCTCATTCACTATCTACCTATTGAGCATCTGTCTGCTCTGTCTCTGACCTGTCCTTCACTGAGGATACGGTAGGAAACAAGAGGGGCTTCCTGCCTTCACGGAACATGGAAGGGCCAGACAAAAATCAAGGAAATAAACAAGATTTCAGATAGTGATAAGTGCTGGAGGCAATAAAACAAAATGGTCCCATGAACAGTGACAGGGGCCTCTGAATGAGATGGTTAGGGGAGGAGCAAAGATCTGAATGGCAGCGGGGTGAAGATTGTGAGACAAGCGCTCCAGGTGAGGAACTAGGAAGTGCGAAGGTGTGGGGCCCCAGCCTGCTTATTGAGCAAGGGCAGTGGCCGTGGACCGGAGAGGAAGGGAGGGCCTCCCACCCCACCTCCCTCCCCAGGGGTTGCTGCCGCTTTGGTTACTATGCTTTCAGACATTTTTCTAGGCGCACCCAAACACACATATAATTTTCTCTTCCTCCCCTCCACCCCTCTCTTTTTCAAACAAAACTTCCTCCTGTATTCCAAGGCTGGTCTGTTCACTTCATTCAGAATTGCCTCAGTCGCCCTGGGCTCCGACCTGAGAGAGAGTGCAAAGTGCAGAGTCACAGTCCTTGGGCCTGCAAGGGACAGCCTGGTTCCAGCGACTCGTCAGCAAAACTCATTATATGTCACAAGCATGATTCCTCAAAGTGGGAGTAAACAGGGCGATTGTGAGGCCAGAGGTCCACTTGCATTTCACAGAATCCAAGAGTGTCTGAGATTGTCCACTTTGCAGGGTCACCTACACCCAATCCCTTAGGTTCTGGTCCCAGCTCTGCCACCTGACCCTCTGTAAGCCCTCCATTAAGTTCTTTTGCTCTCTGGGCCTCAGTCTCCAATATGCAAAATGGGGAGATTGGCCAAAATAACTTCCAACTGAAGTCCAGACGAGCTTTAGGTTAATTTCCAAGATAATTAACTTTGCCCATGGAACCTCAGTTTCTCCATATGTAAATAAAGCATGTCTACATCAGGATCAAATGAGATCACAAGGAAGAGCTCTTTGAGAAGTAGATGATAATTCTTTTCAGATGAGGAAATTGAGTCTCTTGAGAGATTAAGCGTTTTGTTTGAGGTCACACGTTTCAGCCCAGGGCACCCATTGCAGAAGGGGGGCATTTTCATTATGATCTATGTGAACGTGCCCCCTGGAGTTGTGGCTCTGATTTAACTGTCCCCTGGGTTCTGCCTTTCTCTTTCTGAGGAACTTTTTTCAGCAGAAAAAAGGAGCATTGTGTGTCATGGGAAAGCCAATGACAGGTCCCTGCTCTTCTGAAACAAGATTCTTTTTGATTTGCCAGTTCAAAAAGGGTACACTTATGGATATAGTTTCCTCCCTAAGTCAGGTGACAGAAATCCTTGGAGTGTTTCATCCCTTGATCTATCCAGTGTGTCCTGGCCTGGTGATTGCTCCTGGAGACACCTGGCATGTCACTCTACTGGACGCTGGCTTAAGTTATTTCTCTTTGAGAAACCAAGTTTCTCACATGAGGGCTTTTTCCTTGCGATTCTCATACTGAAAGCAGTAAATAAATGCAGGCTGGGCCCACCAGACATACGTCTCTCTCTAAATTTTCATTTACTTACTTTTTTTTTTTAATTTTTACTTATTTATTTTTTCCCCCAAAGCCCCAGTAGATAGTTGTATGTCATAGCTGCACATCCTTCTAGTTGCTGTACGTGGGACGTGGCCTCAGCATGGCCGGAGAAGCAGTGCGTCGGTGCACGCCCAGGATCCGAACCCGGGCCGCCAGCAGCGGAGCGCGCGCACTTAACTGCCAAGCCATGGGGCCGGCCCATCATTTACTTCCTTTTTTAAGTTAACTTTTATAAAAATATACATAGAGAAAAGTGCAAAGAACTGTATATGTCCTTGAATTTTTACAAAGTGAACATAACTATGCGACCAGCACCCAGACCAAGAAAAACAGCATTTCCAGAACCCTGGAGCCCCTGTTCTCTTCCAGTCACTTACCTCCACCAAGGGTAACCACTATCCTGACTTCTAATTGCATAGTTTTACTTGCTTTGACCTGCACATAAATGGAATAATACAGCATGCACTCTTTTGCTCAAAATTTTATTCGTAAGACTCATTTATCTTGCTATGTGTAGTTGTAGGTCATTCATTCCCATCTCTGTAATATTCTATTCTATAAATACACCGCATTTTATTGTTGATGGACATTTGGCTTATCTCCCGTTTTGGGTTATTACAAATATTAGAAAATGTTGCTATGGACAGTCTTGGGTATGTCTTTTGGTGAATATATGTACACGTTTCCGTTGGCTAAACCCCTAGACGTGGAATCATCAGGCCATAAGGTACGCATATGTTCAGCTTGAGTAGACAGGGCCAGTTTTCTGAAGTGGTTGACAATGTAATGTCTCAGTAATGTCTGAGAGTTCCAATGGCTCTACATTCTCAACAATTAGCATTGTCTATCTTTTAAAATTTTAGGCATTCTGATGGATGTATGGTGATATCGCATTGTGGCTTTAATTTGAATTTCTCCATTGATTAATGAAGATAATACCTTTTTATATATGTATTGGCCAAGTTTTCCTTTGCTTTTATTTACACAAATAACACATGAATATATCTTTGTTAGATGTAATACATGAATATAAAAATGCATTTGAAGTTAATACATAAAAAGCTCAAGACCCTCTAAGACCAATCCCTCACCTCTTTAGATATTCTGACCACTGTTTCTGTGATTACAAGAACCCCACGTGGTGAGCATGGCCATTTGCCCCAATATCCATTCTCTCCATCTTTCTTAGTAATTGAACCCGAGTTTTAGCTGAGCACATGGCTGTCCCACTAGACTTTATTTTCCAGCCTCCCTTACACAACTAGGTGTGGCCATATGACTAAGTACAGACAAGGGCATGGGGACAGAAGTGATGTGTGCAGCTTTTGGCTTGTGCCCTTATAAAGAAGGGTCGTGCCCTCCACTTGCCCGTCTCTTCTTCCTGCTGGCTGAAAAGAGGAGCTGACGGTGGGAACTGGACCTGCCATCTTTGATCATGAGATGAAAGCCGAGATGTGCTGAAGATGATAGAACAAGGCAGGAGCCACGACCCCCAATACCACGTAGCTGATAGCCCTGGACAGCTTGGAGACAAATAGGTTTCCATCTTAAGCTATCATTATTTTGGCTTTTGTTATATCCACTGAACTTTAATCCTAATACAGAGTGACTAGAGCATGACTTTAAATTGGG